GGTATATCGGTTTCCAGTTATTTCTGTTTCTTAGTTTGGGCTTCACAATTTAGTTGCTATGATCTGTTCTTTTCCCTCAATCTTATAGTAAATTCCGAATAATCATTTTTTCAGATTTTCCAAATCTACCTTGCGTTTGACCGTCCTAAATGAATTCATGATTTCTGAAATCCGAAGGTTTTATGCTAAACGCTTCTCAAACTGAGGTTTGAGATTCTATTTCGAAAATCCCTTTTGGATATCTAAACCTAAATTCGTAGGTTTTTCCTTAAATATACATGTTCGATCCTTTCCTAATCGATTCCCTATTTTTGAAAGAATTTCGATTGATTTTCTGAATTTTTTGTTCGAGGTTAGAATCCAAGAGGTAGGTCCTTTGGTTTTGAAATTTCTAGTTTCCGTGTAATAATTTGGCTAAAATTCATTTCAAAATTTCGGCTCAAAATGAGTACGCAGGGGAGTAGACTGATTCTAATTTTCGTTTGGTGATGGAAGGTGTTTTTTTCAGGTTTGTCCTCAGGGGGCTGTTCGACACGGAGAGGGTTGGGATGGAGGTCAAGTGAACCACTGTTCTGCGGGGACTGGCTTTTGGTGGGAACTGCTCGTTCTTGAGGGAGTGGTGGTTCGTTAGAGGGCTTGTCCTGAGCTGGGGTCCAATAAGAGGAAGGGGTCGCCTCTTGATGGGGGCAGCTCAAGGACAGGAGGGAGGGGTTTCTGATCAGAGCGAGGGCAAATCTGTATTTTTCTTCACGATGGTGAGGTGCTGTCCTCTGTTTTCCCCTCTGTGTCATGGAGAGAAGGGGTGGAGGGATGAGGTGGTTTTCGGGTTGTCCTCGGGGGGCTGTTCCAACATGGAAGAGGGTTGGGAGGGGGGTAGGGGGACCGTCGTTCTGCGGGGACAGGCTTTTGGTGGGAACTGCCCGTTTTTGAGGGAGCGGTGGTCTGTTAGGGGGCTTGTCCTGAGCTGGGGTCATTGAGGGGAAGGGGGCTCCTCTCGACGGGGCCAGTTCAAGGACAGGAGGGAGGGGGGGGGTCGGTAAGAATGAGGGCAATGCTATTTCTCGTCACAGCGGACAGGTGCTGTCTTCTCCTTTCCCCTCTGTGTTGTGGAGAGAGCGGGAGGGTAGCTTCAAAGATTCTCTACTTTACTCATTTAGGATTTCTTTTATTTTTCAAAGAGGTTAGTCAGAGTTTTGAATAGGGGTCGCATGGGTTGGCCAAGTGAAGCATCTTGTAGAGTTTTGGGGGATCTGTTTTGAAGTAGGGGGCAAGGGGCATGAAATGATTCTTCGCAAGGACGGAGAGGGGGATGGAATAGGGCTTCAGATGCGATTGGCGCTGAGTAGTTTAGGCTGTCTGACGGGTACCGGCTGATGAAGGCGAACTTTGGCGCGATTGGCATTAGGTAGCGCTGGTTCACCTCCTTGAGGACAGAGACTGGAATTCTTGTGAGGGCAAGGAATTTCAGGGTGATGATGGTGCTCAACCCCCCTGCTGAGATGAGGTCCTCTGGATTCCTTCACGAGGACGGAGTTTGGGAGAACGGATGGGATCTGGATAGAGGAAGTTGGGGTGGATGTGATTGGCGCCGAATCTCTCGGCGAGTACTGGCCACTGGCCACTAACTCCACCTGGATCAGATTGAGGTTCTTCCTTTCGATGACGGAGGCAGGACTGTTCTGGTTGTCTGTCTCAGGGGTTGCATGTTCTTCCAAATTTGATCTATCTTGGTTGGCCTAGATAAGAAACAAAAACAAAAACAAAAAAAGGGTTATGGATGACTCTCTCTCTCTCTCTCTCTCTCTCTCTCTCTCTCTCTCTCTCTCTCTCTCTCTCTCTCTCTCTCTCTCT